TCAATTTTTTCAAAAAATACAGGTCTTCGAAAAAGAGTCAAATTATGAGTGGTCCATTTAGTGTGTTGAGAACTGTAGATCTAGTCTTGTGGCACGCGTGAAGTAGGTCTGAAAACTAGTTATTGAATGAGACAAATTGGTCCCTATCTGACAGATACGATTTCATTAATAATAATAATTCTTCATCCAAAGAGAATTAATTTAGCTTGGAGATCCTATTTGCATGGTTCACCATATCGAATGCTTTGGCGAGGTCTGTGTAGATTACGTCTACCTGTTTTCCACCATAGATTGCAGGTGCTAAATCATTGCTAAATATCATCAAGGCCCTTACTGTTGATTTTTTACCCACAAATCCATGTTTTTCTTTGCATATAACACCTTCAACATGTGCATAAATTCTATTGAACTTCGGCCTATTTTTTTTTAAACATAGTACTCCGGACTACTGAATTGAATATTATAGACAATGGCTTTTTCAAAATGTTCATGTAACCTTTGAAAAAAAAGTGGTATGCCATCCACTCCTGCTGATGCTTCTGGTTTTAATGATGTTATTGTTATACAAACTTCTTGTTTAGTGATTGTAGATATGCTAAGATTTTCTAGATCAATCTCACAAGTGTAATCAGTGTTTTTTTGAAGGATTATCATTGTACACAGATTGAAAAAAAAAATCGGCAAAAGCATTTGATAGATCTTGTTCATTAGTAATAATTTCATCACAATAATAATAAATGTTTCCTTATGTTAACTTTCGCGTTTTTTTCAGCTAGCTATTAGAAAAAATAGTGTACTTAACACGTGCGGAAACGTATCACTTTCCGCATTCGTAGGGTAACCTACGATATGGCACATCATGTTGGCTATGATATTCACCATCAAACATCAGTAACATGAAATGGAGACTATGCCAAATGAAAAACCTGAAAGAAGTAAGGTTCAAATTCTCTGCTCAGTGAATACTCATGATTAAAATTTTATAGAATATAAAAATTTGTCATATGTATGCTATCAGGGATATGATTGATAGGTTACTGCCAGTTACAACCTTATTTAATTTCCAGTCCAGAATATTTCCTTAGGAAAGATTCACTAGTGATGAAAAGCCGAGAGATGATGAACATATATGTAGAACATTATCCATGATTGGGAGGTGCTGATGTTCTTGGAGAATATGAGGTCTACCTTGAAATAGTTAGGCTTTATCAACAAACAAGTCAGTCAGGAGCTCTTCAACGTGAAAGAAACTAGTTTCTGAAACCACTGCTTTCCTTCTACCGCTATTAGCTATGAAATAATGGATTTTTTCCCACTCCTTCCCATTTTATACTATCTTAACCATGGGTTTAGCAACAGCATACACCTAGAATGCACTAATTCTGGGTGGAATATCCAATCAGTTTCATTAGTAGATGAACTTCCGCTCATATCATAACAAACAAAAAAGAAGCAGCAAACGAGTTTATTTAAGAAATAAAAAGTAAACAGTAAAAAAAATAAATACTAGAAGTTACAAATAAGACATTAACGAATAAATATGGCAAATAAACATCAGATCCGGTTATATTACGTGAACAAGATTTCTGCTTGTTGACCAATTGAAAAATGTCATGTACAAACAACCACTGTTTAGAAAAATATACCCCTCAAAATAAAACAAATCACAGATTTGGTAGACCCAAAAAAAGTATATTAAGTACAACATTAGAATAAAAGTGAATTAATCCAAATGAATAAAAAATTTACTTTTCACATTTGGATATCTTTATTGTTGAACGAAAAACATTAGGAAAATATCATTTAATTCTGATAATGACAATGTCGAAAAATAAAAAATTTCACCTTAAATAAACAAAATAAACTTATTTCGTAAGTAAAAGAAAACTCAAAAGCACAAAATATTGATGACCGAAAAGTAATTTGAACAAAAACTACTTGTGTACTTGCTAAGAAATATATTTCCACAAATAAACCAATCAACTCGAGAACATCAATGATTGAAAAATAAAGATCAATATCGTGGCCTTTGAATTTTTTCATTGTACAAATCTTTCAAATAAATTGATTTTCGAGCTTTTTTGTTTGTTTAAACAATTTTCGAATTCCATTTATTAGAGATCATTTCCAGTCAGCCAATAATAATAGCAACTTTTCAGAAAAATCAGTACCCTTGTGCTCAAGTATACAAAAACAAAAATAGGGAAAGGGCTCACGCCCAACTGTTAGGTACCATAATCATTATTAATTATATCACATTATTTTAAGCTAACAAACGAGATTATTATGCAAAATAATCATCAACCTGTGTTATTCTCCTATGATTTTTTTATTATAAAATTGATTCATTGGAGACGTACATGTACTGGGTTAGTTATATTGAAGTGAAGATTCCTTTATTTTTCCGATTAACGACCGAATCGAAAACTATCATGCAGATTTCTCATATAATTTTTTTGGGTAATACCTTACTTTGATAAATTTCGATTCATCTAGTCAAACATATTGTACTTAAATTGTATTGCTAATTTTTGTTCATTTGTCAAACTAAGTTTCTTGATATATTCTGGAAATTTTGATACAAAACTGTCATGTGAGTGACATCTGCCAAAAAAACCTTGAAAAAAAAATGTATTGGATTGTTCAATACGATTCAACATTGAATTAAGAAAAAGGGGCTTCACATTAATAATACTAACCTTGTTACATGTGTCATCTCAAACGGGCGTCATGTATAAAATAAAATTCCATAAGGAAGATTTTTTCTCAGATTTTTGGAAGATCAACCAAAGGAAATATTGCTCCATATTTTTTTATTTCTATTCAAACAACTAAAGAAGACATAACACAGGAGAAATAACAACAAAAAACAGTATCAGCAAACGCCACCAGCATAGAGGGGTACAACAAGTTGAAATTAGGAGGAAGCATGTCTTGTCATGAGTCTAGTGGAACATACTCATCTGTGCCCCATTTATCTCTTCCACTCTGGACACTGTCAACATTATATGATATTCAAACTAATATTTGAGTGTAATTCAGTTGGCCATTATAATTGAGACTAACAGTGATATAAGTCATGAGAAATTATTTTTCATTATTATATTATCAATCAATATTCACACCCTTAAGCGCTTTTCACTTGCAATGTGAATTTGAACAAATCATCAGTTATGTTTCTAGTACATCAAATTTTGGTTGGGAAATTGCTCAACTGTTAATCCAGAATAAATATCATGTTCTTATCACATAAGAATATCTACAAGTTGAACTTTAAATGTTAGGATTTATAGCTAACTATCCATCTCAATTTCGAATGATATTCTGTGAAATTCTGATTGATAGCATACTCAATACTCAGTTCTGCTTCATCTTCAGCCTTGAAGCACAATAAAAGATAATGAGTCACTCTGATTGACACAGTATAGGCCATTTCTGAAACCTACTTTGAGATACAAATCCGATGTAATGTGGTTTCATACTAATGTTATGAAGTGCTGGATTGATTTTTGATGATAAATATTGAAGAAATGATATTTGATTTCAATGTTCACTTTGAAAATTAAATATAATGGCATATGAATTTCGTTTTCAAACCTGTTAGAGAGTTGTATCCAAATTTAGAAGCTTGACGTTTCAGTAACATGAGTTTAGTACTATAATAATTCCAAAGTTAATTGGAGCAGCTTCATCACAGAACATCCGCGCGCGACTAGTTTATTTGAAGTTCAAATGAATCCAGTATATGTGGCGGACATTCCTTGCAAAAGGCAGTTATTAAGTCAACTTCAAGAGTTGTCAATAGATTAAATGAAATTTTGAAAAAAAAATTTAAAGGCCCTCAATTCATATATCTTTTAGTCATCGATGAAACAGTTAATTAACTTTTATTGGAATTCAAATACAAAAATATACTCAATATCCACAAAAAAATAATATTTTTTCTATTTTGTGTCTTTAATGAAGTTATTATGACACCCAAATGCGTATCAAAACAGCTTCGATTAGGAACCGCTGAATTTCTTCTTTCAAAGTTGGCACTGGACACGATTGACAAGAAGTTTTGTGTGATTAGAGAATGAACATTCAAATGTTCAGCTAGCGTTGATAGAAAAAAATTCTTCCCATCTGTCCTTGTCTTCAGTGTTCCAACATGAAATAATGAAAATTTTATGTTGGCAACACTGCAAATGAGAAGAAATGGAGAAGAAGACCAGTCAAACCTTTCATGTTCAAGAAGTGATAGGAAACTAGTCTTTAAAATATCAAATCGATTATATATGTAGTAATTTTTCACAAACTGTATTTTTTAATCATAATGAAGGAATTTTTAGAAAATTACCACAGCGCATGTGCACCCCATTTTTGTGATAAAAGTAACACCAAAAATAGGTCTGCGAAAAGCATACGTTGAATAATTGTTTAAAAATACCCCCTCTTCATTCACGAGGGCAGAGTATGCAAATTTTTTTCGCGGTATCATTTTTTTCGAAATTCAACAAGAACCAATTTGTATGCATTTACTAATCGTTCTAAATCATAAATTTTCGATGGAAATTCAAATTTGATTGGTGACGCCGCTGCATGAGGGCACAAATTGATATTTGTCTAGGACATGCTGAAAACCGATGAAAATTATTACGTGAAAGTTGCATACATTAAAAAAATGTTGTAAAAAAAACTGTCACTACCGGCCAGTCTAATATATACAATCACTTACATGCCTTCTCAGTACTACCGAGAATGGTAACTCAGTAGACAAAATATACTTAGGCTTTTCTAAATATTGATGTGATATTTCTAGTATAATTTTGTATTTGATTATTCAACAACGGACTTCAAAACTTCAATTCATTAAGTTAGAATAGAAAAAAAATTCTGTTATGGTACTCCTGTAACAAACATGGACGTTAAGGCCTTTTAAGTAAATCATGTTCAGGTGAACATCATATGAGCTGATCATATATTTTTTGAGATGGTATATTTCTATGAACCACAAAATGTACTCATCATACCTCTTTATGCTGGCGATCTGAGACTCAGTACGAGTTCGTTTTCGGGAGACATGGGGCCAATCTAGGCTTCCGTGGAAGCGACAAGGGAGCCTTTGGGTGTGTATGCCGTCGCGTTCGGATCGAGATTAGAAGGGGGGCTTTCGGCTAGCCGGACTCTTGAAACATTGTTGGAGGTTGTGGGGCTACTGAAGGTGTCGTTGGGCATCACTGCCAGCACCTGTGCTATCTTGCTTTTCAGCTCTTCGATTTCTTTTTCTTGAGCTCGGTTTGCATCTGGAAAAAGGGAAGTTTGAGTCAGTATCGTTGCTTCATTAATACTTTACTATTTCAAAATTCTAGACACTTTATACAGGGTGTCCCGAAATTATATAGAAAGATTTCAACCACAGATTCTAGGAACAAAAATAGCCATTTGAAGGAGAACCCAAGATGATGGTTTTATGTGAATATTTTCGAAACCCTCTGTGATGAAATAACCAAATTTTGTACACGTACCTAACAATTTGATTTGATTTGATATGTTTATGCAATTTTCGGCAGTTTGATCAGGAAATATGGAAATCACAACATTCTTATTTGAAAATGGTACTCCTAATCAATTTCGATAGCATTGACCATTTTCGAGAAAAATCGATTTAAAAAATCTGCTATCGGATAAAAATGGTGAATTTTACCAAAAATTATTGTTTGATGGAAAATATCCATTCTTTTAACATCTATACTTTTGGTATTGTGATATTTGATTGGAAATATGATTGATTATATATATTACGCAGCAGACTGCTATCGACACTCAACAAGAGTGCCATTTTAAAGCAAAAATTATGATATTTTCACATTTCCTGGTCAAACTGGAAAAAATTGCATAAACGAAGAAGTTGGGGGAAAAGTGCTATTTCCTGCGGCCCTCATCAAAATTTCGGAAAATTCTCAACATCTTCAAATTATGCATAAAAATTTAGGTAAGTACATGTACATTTTGTTATTCTATCACAGAGGGTCTCGAAAATATTTAAAAAAAAAACAATATTTTCTCGAGCTCCTCTTCAGATGGCTATAACCCAGGGTCTTATGGCTATAACCCAGGGTCTTATGGAGTCGACACTAGTTGTACAAAACAAAAATCTTCGTGCCATCGCACGCCAAGCGATTACGAGCAACTCTCAATAGTCTTCAAGAGACTTGTGCGAGCAAGGAATGACGGGGGTCCTAACTTTCAACATGTGATCCCAAAGACTTCCTTGGGACATCAGAAAAATTTCTGCAGTCGCGAATTTGTACCCACCACCGGCAAGCCATCGCGATTAGAATACAAACGCTTCTACCACGCGGCTACCTGGCCGTACCAATGTTTTTTTTTCGGGGGAGGTCCAAGAAATTAGAAAACTGCTGATTCCATTTTTTTTTTAATGAAGGGAAAAAGTCGGATTGAGACCGTCATTTCTGGGGGGAGGTCCCCCCTCTGGGCGCGGCCTTGACTATTCTAGTTGAAAATTCGGGCAGAATTTTTTACCGATGATGGGAAACTTTCAAGTGACGAAATATCCACTAACATCACTACATAATATCTACGATTTCACGTGAAATGAACCTTCGAGTGATTATTTAAGAAGATACATTCATTTTGCATGTTTCCTCTGGGAAAATAAATCACAGTTTCTGTGTGAATCGCTGCCAAATTGACAACTCATCAGGATATTCGGACACCAAAATCTTGAACTACATAAATATTCACTGAAAACTCAAACCGAATGAAAGTGAATTGCGATAAAGCTCAGCCGCTGCTTAGTTAGTACAATGGTAGGCAGAGAGGGAAAACGTCTATTAGAAGTGCAGCAGTTATTTGAAAAGTATCATTGGTCTATCCCCTCGCAATGTTATTCTCATATGCGATGTTTAACCCCCTCTCTACCCACTATTGTATCATTCATGTAATGATAGCACTTCTAGACACGAATAGATCCAATGAAAAAGCGCCAGCGACTTATCATAATTGTTCATAAGGCCGTTGTTAGTTGAGGTTAACGATAACTGTGGTTGAATTTCATCAGATTTATCTTTGGTAACGTGTTTAAGTCAGGTAAAATGCCTGTGTATAGTATAACGGCTATGTCAAGTCCCACGCTATGTTCGATTCGGATAGTTTCAGAAACAACTGTAGATTTGGAGGAAGAACGGAATTTGTACTGTTCAAGTAGCGGCTGGACTCTTGTCTTATTTCCTGATGCAATTAGCATGACGTCTCAAAATATTTTCATAGTCGTGGTGATCAATTGATTCCAATCGTTGCATCTCACTCTTATATTCTTATTAATGTCCCTCTCCCTTTATGTGCAGTCTACAAGTTCATTTTGTTAGCTGGATGATTTTTGTTTGTAATACAACTCCTAATATCATTTTCTGGCAATTGGGGTGGTTCCATTTCTGTTGACGAGCAGTTTTTATCACTGAAGTTGACCCCACTTGGTCATAGAGTGCATTTTTGGTATATCTCTCACTCCAGAAAATTTCAGGATCATTACCCAACGATTACGTAAGATACAGGGGTATTTTCATTAGAAGTGGGTCACACATTGTGACAAAATTCAAGCATAAATTTCCCGCAAGCAAATGAAAAGAAGTTCCGTAGTTTTTCGAGATACAGGGTGTAGCAACTTTAAAAATATTGTTTTTATCAATTCCTAGACCTGATGTCCATCATCAGACTTGGTAGGTTCGTTAGAAGTATAACAACATATACTCCTGATGAAGTTGAATGGGAATCATTTATTCAGATCAGTGACTGATTGAAAAAATAAAAATTCCTTGACACTGTTTCTTGAAAAGTAAAATATTTGTTTTGAATTTTGCAATTCTCCAGTTTGTTTCCTAGGTGAAGATAACAATTTTCTTTCAAAGTGAGTTGAGCAAACAATTCAAGTGCCAAAAGAGCTGAATCTTCCAATTATTGGAAAGAGATATTCAACTCAGAAAAATAGTGGTGGGACATATTCTTCGATTCTGATACTCATCCGGTGCTTATGACGCCTTTAGATAGATAAAACAAATTCTAATCATTTTGTTATTTCAATAGAACTTATCAAATATCAAGACAATCGAAGGAATGTTTTTTAGAGATGAATGATATAGAATTCATATTTTTTCAAGTCTTCAATATCCTGAATCTCATCCACGGTTCTCTGTAAAAATATACATGCACCTCATTTCATCTAATAACTCCAATTTGTTCACATAAGGTTCTGCAATGATCAATAATTGATTAACTGGCGATTATTTACTGAGATATATATTGTAGGGTTCTAAAACTGCTTTTGAAAACATGCACAAATACTTTCGAGTATTTTTTTGTAGGCCGACGGCGTTTTATTAGTGACAATTTCAATAAAAAGATATCTATCAACCAAATAAATAGGTGAATCATCATAATATACTGTTATTTATATTTTTGTAGTTGGTGACAATATATTTTGTAATGGAGAACTTGAAGCAGTATGTGGTATTAATAAAATTCACATCCATAACGCTGTTAGGTTAAATAAAACACAATGATTGAACTTTAGTTACACAAAATAATTGAAAAATAGGTCGATAGTAGCTAAGATTCTCAGTTTCTTATAAATTCATTTTACTCAAGTTGGTATAAATTCGAGTGGCTTGAACATTTCACAAGCGCGTACTCACTCTATAAAGGGCATGAAATGAGGAATTTGAGGCACTCCAGTAGAAATATATTACCTTATAAGGAATCTGTAGTACTATTTAGAATGAATGAAATTTAGCATTATTAGGTCGAATAAAATATAATGAAATTACTTTAGTTTGATGAACTGATAAAAAATAATTCGGTAGTAGTTCAATCACTCACTTTTTGAAAAATCATTTAGCTAAAGTTGGTAGAAATATATTTTATTTAATTCGATATAATTTGAAGTTGAATATAAATGACATTTTACCTAAAAACGTCGAACAATTTTCAGTGTAACTTATTGCTCCTTTCCCCAAGGAGGAGCAAGCATTTTCGGAAATTTGTTGAGTTGCTATGGTAACGACACAAAATGAAGGATTCAGATTATTGTTCGAAAATGTCAGGTGTGAAATTTTCAACAGTAATTACACATGTGGTGGTAATTTTGTGATAATTTTAACTAGATGCGCGAAGTGCTAATCTAGTTAAAATTTTAATGAAAATCCCCACCACAAATGTAATTCAGAGTGATTAATTTTTTCACTATTTCGCAAAATGCTCAGCGGAAACGAACATTTCACACTCACACACTTCAGTTTTGCGTAATTTTTGTTCGTCGAACAAAACGGCCTTCCAACAACGCAGTCTATAGGCCCCTTTTTAAACAAAGATCCAAACGTGAAAAAGTATGGTGTAAGAAAGCTACTATGAATAGGTTTTATTATCATTCATTAGATTATCGAATCAATCCTAAGCTGGGTAAAATTACATCACCCAGTATATTTCACAGTTCATCGAAATCGAGAGTCGAACCGAAATAATAGTTTAAAACTCCTTTTATAACGAGTAGGTATAAAGCACGGGTTTCTAATAGCCCTCAGTTGACCATTATAACAGCAAATGAATTTTAATAGATTTAGTATTGATATGTTGCGACCAAAATACTTATAGATTTGAGTAATTATTGTCATACTAGTATAAGATGAATAAGGATATGGTATCGAGAGATGAAGTTGTTGGTTTTTTTACTATGCCTTTTTTCCCACAATTCGATATCATTTTTGGATCGTATAACGGACTAGGCTACAGTATGTAAAGGGTTTGAGATGAGTTAATTGCTTTTTGCCCATGCAAAGACAACCATATAATACGTTTAGTTTCTAGGAAGAATAATAAATTGTCAAGTAAATCTTGTTAGGTTTGCAACATATGTTGAATGTTATTTATGGTCCTTGTGATGGACAAAGGCGAGTTGGGAGATTTCTAAATACCACCCAAACGATGGAATAACGTCACATGATTGGTCAGATACAATTTGTCGCTGAGTTTTCGCTTTCCTCATGTCACGTGATACACTAGCTATACAAAAGTAATGTTTGTCACAATTTTGTGGAAGTTCGTTTTTGAATTTTGTTCTGTTCAGTTGTGTCACGTGATATGCGGAACGCTGGTAAAGTAATCAACAACTCGAGTTGATAACTCAATTATCATGGTTCTTGATGATTAATATTCAATTATCACTATTTCTCAACTAGTCTTTGGATGCCGTAAATATCAAGTCAGTTTTATGTCATTTAGTTAGGTCCGGATCCTATTTTCATTCATTTCATTCATTTATTATCCATCTGATAATAAAAATAGTTAATTCAGTTAGGTAACCAAAGAGTTTGATTTATGGACCTCCTTCCTATCCCTTTCCCATGTTTATTTGGGATTGAGTGTCTCAAAGTAGAGTAATATACTTTGATTAAAGAGTATGCAAGCACAGATATTTTACTAGTGCGATGCATATTACACGTGGATGTGTCACAAGCTGGTAGCTGGGACTCAATATAATATATAAAAGGTAAGTTGATTATGATATATTGTGAATGATTATGTGGCATTTCAATACGATTTATTCAAGAACCTACTTGCCGACCTGTCTAGCTCGGCAAGAAATACTTTTGTTGGAAATTAGAATTCTATTAAATGAGGTGGTTTTAAGACAGGTTACTAAATTAGTGATCAAGATAGGTTAATTGCTCATCAGAGACCACCTCGTTTACAATCGTGTAATTTGCTACTAACAAATTATCAGTATAATATCAATTGATTGGCTACAATTAAGCATGTAAATTGTTTGAAACATCGAAAACGTTACATTTTGACATGAAAAAAAAATCAGTATAATTCTAGTTCTGATTGGTTGTTTTCAATCAGATGACCAGAAAACGACGAATTTCATTGCTACTCACTTTCCCTGAGCTCGAGCTGCCGTTTGGCCTCCCCCAGCGCGCTGAACAGGTCCAACTTCACCCGGTTCTCCGCCGACAGCGAGTTCTCGAGATGGGCGTTCTTCTCCTGCATGGCGCTCAACGCCGACATGAGCAGCTCGGTGTCGCGCATCTGCTCGGCCAGCGCCGAGTTGTCGCGCTCGAGCGCCTGCACTCTGTCGTCCTGCCAACGTTTGGCCGTGCGCAGGTCCGCAGACTCGAGTTCCAGCTCGCGCCGCCGCGATTTGCACGAGTCGGTGCATTCGCCGCGCGACGACTGTTGGGCCGCAACCTGTTAATATCAATAAAAATATGCATTTCTTCATAGTCCACAAGATGCATAGGAGGTGTAAAGTGCGTCAGCGGGGACCTGAACGTTACCACCGATAAACCAAGTCAGGCCTAACCAGCGGCTCGAAACGACAAGCGCTTATAGCGCTATAAGGCGACCGCGTATTTCGATTTTAGTTTTAGATCATTATTGAGCCGATTTTGCTTTTTTTTGAAGGGCTTCCGGTTGAAAGAGGATGCCAGCCGTCAACTGAGCCCTTCTTTGCATCCCATTCGATTTTATTATGAAAAAACGAAGTTTCAAAGCAAAAACCAGAATAAAACACAAATACCCACCTACAGCAACCCATTCGAATTAAATATATTGGCAAAAATTGTAGTGATTCAATCTCATTAGAGGTAAACTTCACACCTACTTATACAGGGCCCGCAGAACATAAACTTATCATGAGATTGATCGAAAGAAAATTGGGGAAAATATATTTTAGTTTGATAGACATGCCGTTTGTCATACCTAATTACCTATATTTATCTTGGAGAATACCTATTACCTAAAAAATTAGCCAGTGAGTGTTTTCAATTTCCTGTTGTTGGATTTTTTACCCAATTGGTCGTTAGACTTGAAACAGTAATTTTTAAGTAGAGTGTTTGTAGTACATGTTAATATAATAGTTGCAATTTGATTATTGGAATGAATTCTGCATTCATTGCCACGAGGCAAATGACCGTTTTCAGAAAAAAATTTGAGAATGTATTGAGTCAGAAACCAAAGAGTCCAATGCATTCGAAATATGTTTCAAAACCCTCTTTTTCTGATTATCAAGACATTTTCCCGAATTATGTATCTCGTTTTTATCTATTTCGATTAGTAATTCCTTGATTTGATTGATATCATTAGAGATAAAAGGTGTTTTCAGATTGGCTTTTAGAGATGTTTGTATCGCTAGGTCATACAAAAATGATTCCACATTGAAAACAAAATCAATCACAACCGAATATGTAATTACGGGCCCTGGAGAATACGACAATTTGAATAATGTGACTTTTTGCAAATCGATAATTTTGAACCACTTTTCGGGCAACTGAAAAGACTCTTACAACTAGAAATTCTTGAAATTCTGTGTAGCAAAATGATTTTTGGTAATTTTCGAATTCAGTTTTACTTTTGGTAAGTGCTTGTGCCAAATTTTTAGTCTCTAGTATCTCAAGTTTTTCATCACGACTTGTGCGTAAATTTACATCTTTCGATAAATAAGATGGACAGTTGGGAAATTGAGTGGGAATAACATCTCGTTTGAGCCTAGGAATTTTCAAATCTATTGTTACAGTTTTGCCAGTTTTTGAATCGGTTGCAGTAGATGAAGTAATAATATCAACTTTAGTAAAATGTAATTCACATACTTTACTGTACTTAGATGGAGTCGTAAAATCCTTGCGGTGAATTGCATGTACCCACTTTTTCGATAGTTCCTTGTCCAACTAAAAGCATGAACTTTTGGACCACCCACATAGTTCCCCCGACAAAAGGGAACAACACTTGTAAGGCATTGTTATTTCGCCTATCACAACACGAAATATTTCACAAAACAGTAATTTCTCCGCCAATTATTTTGATGAATAAACAACAAGAGAATTCGAGCACACACGCGATTTACCTACGCCACCGTTCTTAAACAAAAACAAACTGACGATCGATCGACGCGAATGCCTTGGAAGATGGCCTGAGTATGCGACGTCACGAGCTGTTTACGTCAGAGTCTGCTGGCCTTGTTTTATCGGTGGTAACGACCTGAATGATTCCTTTAGGAACTTATTTGAGATGCTTAGGGAGCGGACCTACTAGTCCTGACGTCTTGAAGGTGAGCCGGAAGGAAAGTGAACAGTAAGATGGTTCCGCTTTTGGGTTTGACACTCAAATGTCGAAAATGGTTGAGTGGTGTCGCGCTGGAGCGTCTGCTCTCTATGGTCCTGCCAGCGCTTCGCTGTGCGCATGTCGGCAGACTAGAGTTCCAGCTCCAATATTTTTGTTGTTTCGTAAAACTATTAAGGCTTATTCATTGTGGGTGCGTCCAAAGGAGCGTTGCGTCGACAGTCACGTCGCTTCCTCATGCTGTTTATAGGGTGGAAGCGTACAGTATTGTTGTTGAATTGAAAATAGAGCAGTGAATATTATATAAAACTAATACTGTTGCGGTTTATTTCCACCGTAGTTCCTAATTTATTTGCAACGCATCAATGGAATTATTTAGACTATATTTTTGGGGTTTATTTTACAGTAGATGAGAGTTTCACCACAAACTGGTCAATAAGTTCTTGTGATTTATCACAGATCAGCAGAGCGAGAGCTTTACACGATTATTTTCTGGAACTACCTAGACTACGGAATAAACCGCCATCATAGCGTTGACTGTTTCTCATCGAACCGAACCCAGAACCAATATCGATATATTTGTCAACAATGAAAATCTCTGGCTCGCGTGTAAGCCTAAACTAACTCTAGGCCATCGTCACAATTGATAAATATAATGGATGGAAGTTTTATAGCATTAATGACCACGCTCACTACGTGATCATTTGTTTTATGTTTGGCAACAATAATTTGCCTATTTAGCTTATCTCTTACCTCTTGAAGAATTTCGCCTGTTAACTCAATTTTGACTTCATGCAAGTTGTCTTTCTCCCACTCGATAATTAGTCAAAGATATACTCAGGTTAGACGATTCAACAAAATAATTGAATAATAAATTATAGCAAATTTGTAAGTGCATAGGAGTTTGGAGAGTTGTCTCTACAATTTGCGCATACGAATGAAGGTATTTGTATAAACACTAGATTCGTCAGTCTTGTGATTTAATATGCGGATATAAAATTGATATTATTATAACATTCCTAGAAATTGATGATGAAACTGTAACTGATCAGGAAGTTATTGTTTATAGGTTGAACAAATATTTTGTAAATGTTGGTCAAGCAATAATCAATAATATCAATGAAGAACTAATAAATAACCCTAACATTCATACTTTTGACAATGTCTACACTAATTATTACTCATTATTTCTTAGTAATACAAATGTTGGCGAAATAATCAATGTCCTGAATGAAATCAATAAAAATGCAGCCCCTGGGCACGATAAGATATCAATTAAAGAACTATTGTTGATTATTGAATGGCTCTCACCAGTCCTGGTCACGCTAATCAATGATATATTTGAAAAAGGAATTTATCCTGACATATTGAAAAAATGAAAGGTCATTCCTATTCACAAATCAGGTTCAAAATCCAAACTAGAGAATTATCGCCCCATTACAGTTGTTTGTGCATTGTCTAAAGTAGTAGAAATGCTTATAAAAAATCGAATTATAGGGTTCATGGATTTAAAAAAAAATCAAACACACAAAGTGACACTACAGATTTCCTTAACTATGTAACAACAAAACTGGATGAAAGTAAATATGTCATCACTGTATTTGTAGACCTTCAGAAAGCTTTCGATGTAGTGGATCATAATATATTATTATCGAAGTTGAATACATTAGGATTGAGGGGTATAACATTAAACTTAATTGAAACATATCTACATTCCCGTGAACAGTATGTCTCGCTTAACAACATAGAGAGCCAGTTAGAAAACATAAATTGTGGAGTACCACAGGGCTCAGTCCTGGGTCCACTATTTTATTCACTGCACACCCTCAATTTAAAAAATGCAAAATTAATAGCTCGTTACAATACGTTTGCAGATGACACAATACTTGAAGGAAAAGACCTAATAGAACTAGAAAGTAGAATCAATATAGATTTGAACCTATATTCAGAATGGCTGTTGAGTAATAAATTGAAAATTAATGTACAAAAAACAGTATATATGTTATTCAAGAATAAAAACAAAGAAAGTCACGAGATTATTATTAAAATTGGAGATATGTTAAAAAAAGTAGAAAATACAAAATATCTAGGGCTAATTGTTGACGACAAACTCAACTGGCAAGCACACATAGAACATATGACAAATAAAATTGTTCCAATGATAGGTGCCCTGTATAGATGTCGTGATTACTTAAACAACCATAATAAGCTGATGATCTATAATAGTTATTTCCTCTCAATATTTCGATACTTAATAACGAACTGGGGAGTTTGCTCTAATATCATGATGAAAAAAGTCAAAACATTACAAAACAAAGTAGTAAAGGTACTGTTTGATTTTGATTATAAAACAAATACCAATACATTATATAGTGTCACTGGAATATTACCACTCGATAAAATTCTACTTATTGAACAATGCAAATATATATATAAAGTCTCGAAGAATCAGCAAAAAAGTAATACACCAATGAATTTAGTAAACCAAGTTCACAATCACTATACCAGGGCAAACAATCAAATATATCTAACACAAGTAAAAACTAATGTGGCACTGAATGACCCAATATCCAAATGTATTCAAACTTATAATACTATACCAAATTTCATCAAAAACAAAGATAGTTATGCATCGTTCAAAAGAGAACTAATGATTTATGTGAATGCAATCAAAACTTAGTATGTATTTTGTGTTTTTTGTTATGTTTTTTTGTTAGGTTAAATATGCTTCAAGACTGTACCCAAATATAAAATGTGCATTTTTGTTTGATGTTAACTTGATTACCTGTTTATTTATCATTAAGTTTAAGTTCCATCACCAGCATTATTGCTGATTTGGAAAAAAAAATACTATGAATTGTTATAGTTGTATGTTTATTTGTTCAATAAAGTATTTTTTTTCTGAATATTTTAAAACGTACTGGGTTTTGTCGTGAGCATATTTTGTAAATGTTTTCAAAATTACTACCGTTTTACGGGGTTTCAATAATTGTGAATAAACCCATCAAGTATAAGCAGCCTTTGATACCTTATAGTATATGGAGAACATTAAACTTAGGATTTCTGGTTATCTGGCCAAGGTCTAACTTTGCTGACTTTGATCCATCTTCAGCCCAACTTGAATTGCAGTTTCCAACATCTGCTTCTCTCAGACATCATCAACAATTCTTCAATCAATCAATCAATCATCACCAGCACTACAATTTGCAAGTGAATGATTTGACTTGTAGGTAAGTAATCATCACAAGCAAGTTTTTACAGGAGAAACTTGGTTTAAAATTGCAGCTATTATTATGATACAATCCATTGATTTGATTCGTTGATATTGAGTGTTCACTCTTGATTCCACATATTATATCATTTTATCAATAATATATCTATTTGTCGTATGGCATAATAACACATGTATATATACCAAAGAAGGGAAGTGTTGTATTTTGTGCAAGATAATTTAGATAAGTCATCATCAGTGCATAACTGTAAGTAAGTAATCTGCTTTCAGCTATTGGAAAAAAATTAGAAATTCGAAAAAAAAAATTTTTGTTTGAAGAAATTTTGTTATGGGGCATTTTTTTTGGAAATTTTTAATATTGAAAAAAGGTAAAAATGAATTGGTGACTTGTTACTTGTTGATGAACTCTTGATTTTGAAAAATACTTCATCATAAAATCGAAATTTGGAAATAGTTTAATACGAATTTGGAAATTGATAAAAGTGAGGTTACTTACTCGTCAGGTTAACAAGGAAATTTGTCCATAAAAATATCTCTGGTCCAGTTTAAAACTATCGACATTATGGTGAAATACGGTACAAACATATTAAAATGTGTTTCCAAAAGGAAGTAGAATACAGATTACATTTTGTTAAGCATTGTCACTGCGACATGTCGTGTTGAAGTGAACTTGATGAGTGACGAACCTTGGTTTAATTGTCATTGAACGTACTGGACTAATGGAGGCAAATTTGAAGTTGACATGCATGACATGACATCCAAGACATGACATGTGTCAAACGAGAATAAAGAATGTTTGTTGTTATGAAACATTAGTGAAGATAAACATTATGAAATCGGGAAGAAATAACCAAGTCCCTAGTAGATTTTAGTGTGCCGTTAATGGTCCTCATTGTTGCGTGCGCTGTTGAGCCAGATCGGGGCGCCATATTCTGCAGCTGAGTCGACAAGTCCTATTGACGAGGTACGTAAGGTGTAGGCAGTAGATCCCCATGAAGTTCCACAGAGCTTGTGTAGGAAGTTATTTCTTGTTCGTAGTTTAGCAGCAGTGTTTGCTAGGTGATTTCTATAGGTTAACGTTCTGTCGAGGGTAATTCCGAGGTATTTTGGGTGCGGAATGTGGTGGAGTAGAGAGTCTTTGATCAATATTAATTATAAAACTTTTTGGCTTTAATTCTAGTCTGAATATTTTACAAGTTGGTGATCAGGAAGAAAGTCAACCTTCTGAAATCCTAAAAATTAATTAAGCTATTGCTTATCAATGGTACCAAATTATTCAACTCATTATTTCAATTATTATTCAATCTATGTTCTATAGCACTTGGCTCAACACCTTACATGATTTTGACTTGATGTTTTTTATTTTGTTCTGTGTTTTGTTCCCAACATTCCAGATGGATCCTTGACATCAAACTTAATTCACATCCGCATTTCATGCAGTAATAGTTTTTCATGTTCTCCTCCCATTGACCATGTGATTTTTCACCAATAATGATAGGTTAGTATTTGTATGTAACAAAATATTTTTCAAGTTCTAACATAAACATTTTTTTCTCCATACAGTTCCTTTTTCTGATGATGCTGATGATGAAGGATGTCCTTGCAAGACTTTTGGTCATTCTCAAATGGTTTCATGTGGTGGAGTTGTGAATGTAACTTCTTTCACATTTCCTAATGTCATTATGACTATAATTTTAACATTTGGAATATCAACCAACATCGCTATGATGAAAATCATAAAAGTTAAAAACATGAATTTACCACAGTACACAACCGGGTCTGTCTATTATATTTGGAAGTGCATTATTCAATCAAAAATTCATTAGGCTAGAGAGTGTAGTAATAATATACCTGTGCTGCTCTGGCCTCATCTTGTTTTCGACTTTTTCTTTCTTGATTCAACTGAGATTCCAAGTTCAATCTCAGTCGCCTCTCTTCTGTAATCCGTCTCTCTAAATTACTTATCATTTGTTTGTCTGATGACTTTGTACTTAGGGCGCTCTGCAATTTTTGCTGAACGTCTTCCATCTCCCGCTGCAGGGAAGATATCTCTCCTCTTGAAACTTTTTCACTTGTGGTCAATGAAGCAACCTGAAAATGTGTAAACATGAAACATTTTTCAATCTTACCCAAGTTCATCCCAAAGCATAGTAAGTCAGCGAGAGCCAGTTTTTGTTTTGTGATTGGAAGAACAAAAATAATTTGTTCATGGGGAAAAAAGCTGAATTTGGGTACTGGCCAAGGGTAACTCATGAAACTCAATAAAACAAGTTCATGAAAACAATTTCTTCAAGATGTACATATAGATGTATATTACCTGTAGTCTCAAATCTTGTTCACTAGCTCTACTGAGATGTAGGTCTGATCTTAGTCTTTTTGTTTCAGATTCTAACCTCTGAAGGTACTCTGCAGCTTCTCTCTCTTTATCCTGCTCTTTCTTTTCTCTTCTCCTCGTCGGTTTGGGATCAACTGGTTCCTACAATGTTTCCCCAAAATAAATTTTTGTCAATAACAATGATGGGTTATACTAGTATCCATCTTTTAAGAGTAGGTAGTGGAGGTTTCTAAAATTAGGTAGCTATGGATAAGTTTTATGTACTAAAATTCACAATATAAGTGTATAAATATAGTGCTGTCATGAAGTACTGAATACATTCATTTTTAGCCAACCAATCTATTTCTAAGGAATCTCCTGACATGCCGATTTTTATTTTCAATTTGCCACATTTATGTGGGAAACTCAAATATACAGGGTGATCCACGTTTGATTTATGAGGTCCGCGACAATTTTTTCAAATGGAACACCCTTTATATTATTCCATTTGGATAATCTCCATAGAAAGCTGAATTCAAAATATATTATACTCAGGATTTGTAATTCGGTTTGTGTACAGGGTGAGTCATAACTATTTGGACATAGGTTAAGGGCGGATTGTTTGGAATATGCCTTAATAAAATATTGCTGTGGAAAAAGATACAGGGCGTTGAAGTTGAATATTTTTTCGTTTTTTCAGCGAATGTCACTGTATATTCATCAATAATTGTTATCAAAATCGGCACAGAGGCATAATTTTATACAGAAAATATTACTTCATGTACTATCCTACAGTTTGTTGTGAATGATTCCTGATGATTCGGTTCAAGCGCCCTGTATCAATCAATCAATCAAACTTTTATTAAATAAGTTTTCATCTAAAATAAAAATTAGGAAAGAATCATAACATCATTGTAGAATACTAACTAATTCAACAGGTCATACAATGAAAAATGAATATATTTATAAAAAAGTTAAAACAATACTTAATATAAACACTAACCATCAACTTGAATAAAAAGAAATTGGGAATGTGTATGAAACACCAATGATATACTAGACAAATATATTTACAAACAACATTAAACATTAAAATATCATTAAAATAATCTGATCATTAGAATATTTACTCACATCATGATTCCAGGAGAAATTCATCGACTGAGTAATATGCTTTTCGCAATAAAAATGATTTGAGTTGCCTTTTGAACACATTAAGATTTGTAGACAATTTAATGTCTTCACTGAGATTATTATATAGCTTAACTCCATAGTACATGGGATGATTCTGTGCTACTGACAATCTACTACGAGGTGGATGCAATTGATTACAATTCCTAGTGAAATGATCATGAATTTGGTTATTTTTGGGTATACTTGAAAAATGATTCCTGATATATATCAAAGTTTGATAGATATACAAACTGGGCATTGTTAAAATATCATACTATATGAATAATGGCCTGCAATGATCTCTGGATGATGCACCTGCCATAATTTTTATTACTTTTTTCTGTATAATAAATACTTCCGGAAGATTTGGCAGATAAACCCCATTGTTCTAGACCATAAGCTATGACAGATTGAATCAAACTGTGATATAGAAGTTTAAGAACATCGAAAGAAACTGTTTGTCTCAATTGACGAAGTAGATATATATGTTTACTAAGCTCAAGTCTAACACTATCAATATGATTATTCCAGGTTAGCTTATTATCAATATGGACCCCCAAAAATCTTGTATGATTAACTTGATGGATTGTTTCATTGTTTATTTTGACCGAATAGCTTTTATCTATAGTTGTATTTTTTGTAACGAAGTTGAGCATTTGAGATTTGGCAGTATTCAGCAACAATCCATTTAGAGAGCACCACTCCGAAATTTGAGCTGTGACTTCTCGGGCTCTATCAACAACTTCCGAGATAGTTCCCGCAGATACAAAAATATTAGTATCATCAGCAAGAATCACAGTTATTGAAGCTTTCGTACAGAAGTTGGAAAGATCGTTGATGAAAACTAAAAATAAGAGTGGTGCTAGGACAGAGCCTTGAGGAACTCCAATCGGAACGCATCTTGAATTCGAATACGTTCCATTCACACTGACCACCTGACTACGACCAGCTAGGTATGAACTAAGCCAATTGAATGCAGATCCCCTTATACCATAAATCTGTGATTTATGCAACAATATATCATGGTCAACAAGATCGAATGCTTTGCTCATGTCAAAAAATAAACCCAAAGTTTGCTGTTTTTTGTCTAACATTTCAAGTGCATGTTTAATAAGCTGATCAACTGCAGTCATAGTAGATTTATTTTTTCTATAACCATTCTGACAGGATGAAAATAGCCTGAAAGTTTCGAAATAATTATATAAACGTTGATAAAAACAATATTCAATAATCTTAGAAAACTGATTAAGTAGGGAGATAGGTCTATAAGAGGAAAAATCCGTGCGAGAACCTTTGTTTTTGTGAATTGGTAAGATTTTTGACAATTTTAAGACATCTGGAAATCTTCCCTCGATGAACGTAGAGTTCACGATATAACTCAAAGGTTCAGAAATCAGATGTGCAACTTTTTTGATTACATGACCCGGAATTTCATCCATACCCGGAGATTTTTTCTTACAAACTTTTTTGATGACATCTTCAATTTCCAATTAAGTGGTTGGATATAGATAAATGCTATGTAGGGAGGGTGAAATACAATTTATATTATCATAAGAAGGTTTGGATCAGCTACTGCTAACAGTTGAGAAGTAATCACTGAAAAAGTTGCTAATAGCCTGGTTATCAGAAATATCTTCATCATGAGTATTTCGAAGAAGCTGTACACCACTGCTTGTAGAGTTATTTTGTGTCTCTTTGATTATTTTCCAAGATTCTTTCACCTTGTTTTCTGCTGAAGAGATTCATGAAGAGTCATTACAAGTTTTTTTGCATGTTTCAATTTTTCCTGATATGTTATTTTGAGCTCTTGAAACTCATCATGATATAAACCATTTTTATATATTTTGTTCAGCTCAGATAACTCTGTTAACTTCCTGCTCATATCTCTCAACTGCTCATTGATCCATTGAGGATTCCCAGATTTTTTATTCCTAAATATTTTTTTTAGGAATGAAAGATTGAAATAATGAGAAATCATATTGTTGAAATACTCAAACTTAAAATTTACACAATCTTTATCATAAAGTTGAGACCAATCTTTTTCCACAGCAATACTTCATTAACGCATATTTGGTCATATCGCCATATATTGGTCCAAAAAATCCGCATTTAGCCTATGTTCAAATGGTTATGACTGACCCGGGCTGAAATTAGATGCATTTTTTATGTTACTGGTTGTGAATATTACTGTGATTTCAAAAATAGGTCCCCTTCCTGAAATAATGCCCCTACTTGAAGGTGGCAGACGGGTGTTGTTATACTTACTATTGTGGGGTACTTTAATCAAAAGCATCAAATCTTTGGAATATCTACTTTAACCATTTCTCACGCGAGCTCTTGGTCTATATATTTCAATTCTGACATTCATGAAATGAATTATAAAATTCAGACAATTTTGAATGAAAAAGCGCGGGACGACGGGTGGTCTTGTCACAATGCAAGGTGTGTAACTTGATAAATCTAAACATTCAAAAACACTAACAGTTGTCATTTCTGTGTCCAAAATAATACCATCCAGTGACTCCAATTCACAGTGAACGATGAGAAAGGTTTCCTGAATGACTGTAATATGTATAAGTTTGGATTATTATTCAGAGGTCGATCAGTGAAACAGTCCAGGTCGTTTATGGAGTAAATAGACGAATTGTAATTTCGTATCAAATATTGTGTAGTATTTGTCAAATAAATTGTTTCAAGTGCATTTCAATGAACAATAAGAAATCCCAATCTTTTATTTTTCCATCCAAACACCATTTTCATGGGTAGGTACTATTTATTATTTAGTATTGACATTTTATATACAATGTGACCCACTTTTAAGGGAAACACCCCTGTATCTTACATAATCGTTGGGTAAGGATTCTGAAATTTGCTGGAGCGAGAATATACCAAAAATGCACTCTATGACCAAGTGGGATCATCTTCAGTGATATAAATTGCTCGCCAACAGCCATGGAACTACCACAATTTCCGGAAAATGATATTAGGAGTCAAAATGTTGTCGCACTTTTTACGGAAACACCCCCGTATCTTACGTAATTGACTTTATCTTAGGACTTTCCCTTCCTCCTGCAAATTTCAGAACTCTACCTCAATAATTACATGAGAAGTGAGACAAAATTCAATTTCTCTGAACTGAAAATTTTCTAGGAAATATATATATATCGGCTATATATATCTAAATAAATAGTTAGTAACTTGGGCGTCCTGATTCCGAATCCGAAGTGATTTTCAACCTATTTTGACTCCTAATATCATTTTCCGGAAATTGGGTTGGTTCCATGGCTGTTGGCGAGCAGTGTATATCACTGAAGATGACCCCACTTGGTCATAGAGTGCATTTTTGGTATATATCTCGTTCCAGCAAATTTCAGGATCCTTAACCAACGATTATGTAAGATACAAGGGCGTTTCCAACGTCAGATCTTCTATGACTCTAGATACAGCGGATCCACCTTTATCACACACTCTGTATACTAGGGTCCCAAGTCAGTGAAAAATGGTGAAAATCATTAGATGAGGATGAATAATGTTGAGATTTGCAACAAAGGTATCATGGTCACCCAATTCGATAACTAAAATAGGTTTTACACTGTCCTACAAAAAGCCGGCAACTAACAACATACTTCTCTTAATTTTTGCACAATGCATATGTTCAAATTGACATCTAAATAAAATTTCTATCAGTGTTTCCATCATAAAATTCAGATGAACGGTTCGGGAGGAATACAACTTTGATTTTTGACTAATTATTTGTGTTCGTTTTTTTGCAGGGTAGTTTAGTTCAGTATGGGAATAATTTTCATCCTGAGCAGTTTTTGTTCTGTTCAAAACTCACGCATTGACATACCTGTTGAACTTCCTCTACGGACGAGTTAACCACTGAACCATTGCTATGTGAATGATTCACTTTTTGCCTGTCTATATGTCTGTCAGAATGCCTGTGATCATGTTGATCCTGGTCTTTGCATTTCTCGACGGATTTCCTGTGGTGCGATTTTGCACTGTGTGTATTGTGTTGCACCCCATTGGCTATGGTTCCATTTGGTATGTGACCATTTTTTTCATGGGACTGCCTGCAACAAAGTCAGTAACATAGAAGTCTGAAATTCAACAGCAATATTCTGCCAGCGGCGTTGAAGACTAAAAGTACGGAGAAAAGTTTAAATGTACAGGGTCGTTCATTGAAGAGAAATGAAAAACAATATGCGGAAGTTGATAAGGCCTAATTGAGTGAAAAACTTCACATTTATTTTTTCAAATGGAACATCTTATTTTTTAAAGTTATTTCGAAATCTGTGAATTTTTGTGATATTGTCTGTTCAGTAAAAAAAAATGCAAAAATCACCCATAGTAAACATTTTCAGTAACAGTAAACTAGCGACTTTGATTCTAAAATAAGTTATTCATTTGTTATCCTAACACTAGACATTTTTCATATTCCTGTCAAGATTCATCTTCCTGTCAAGTTTAAAATCAGAAATATCTCGTGTTGAAACATTTCAAGTATGAATATTTTTCATATTATAGCAGAAAAGCCAGTTGATTAATCAATCTTCAACTCTTTAACTCATTTCCTTTTTTTCTGCATCAAACAATGATTCACATAAATATATATGTATGTATATTATACAACAAAACTAATGAAATACAATGTATGTCAATGTACCTGTTCGCCAATCATATACTATTTTAGATAATAAGTACCTAGATATAGTTATTAGATGTAATCTTAATTCAAATCTCTATATTTCTATTATTTTGGTCTCATCGTATTGAAGGAATAATAAAGTAAGAGTAATACTATTTCTTTGCGCGACAAACACACAGTTGAGGAAACACAAGAGCCCTCTAGTGGCGGTTTGGTAAAGACAGGCAGTGTGGACTCTCAACACGCCGGAGACGACACGCTATATAACGCTCTCGCTTTATCGCTTTTATCGCTTATGTAAAACCGCTTTGGTGATACCCAATGTAATAATGCATTACGTGCAGTGCTAATGCTATGTTGCAACCGCGCATGTACCGCTGAACTGCAAGTTGGAAAAGGACTCATCGGAACGACAGAAATTCAGGTGAGTGTTTCTCTCAACTGTCGCTATATACTTTTCTTATAAAAACGCCGCTGATCAAACATTTGGTCACTTCGAGCCACGGATTTCGTTTTCTTCGATTATTTATTATTCCTTCAATCACATTTCAAAATATTGAAAATACATAAATTGGTATAATATTCCATTAATTTCATTCTTAGTGTGAATATTCGCAAATTCTTCAGGTTTTATCAGAAATATCGCAAATACAGTCCATAAATAGAATCACAAAAAAGGTTCACGTTTTTTGGTACAATTGAGACTTGGATGTCCATTGAATTTATCAATTTGAGAACATAGTCGTCACCAACGATTTCTTCACGGGATCTATTTGTTACTATATTATAGTGCATTATTTAAAATAAGTTGAATCATTTTCATCTCTTCTCGAAGATGTCTAATAACACGAATAAGATTAAACAATTAAAGGCCTTACGTCAGATGAATATTAGTCAAATGTCCGAACTCAGAGGATTTGCAGATAGAGCTTCTGATGACAGAACCGCAAAAATTCAATTTCAATACATGTTTGAACAATATGAAACTATAGTTTCTGATTTTAAAAAGCATCATCAATCAATTGTCAATCTTGGAGCTTTACAAGATGACGAAAATTTGGCAAATGAAGATGGTATCCGCAGAACCTTTGAATTCAGTGCTTCATACGTTTATGCAATTCATTTAACTTTATTCGAGGAGAAGCCTGAAGTCAAAAATAACGACCACACATCATCGCATCAGAAACCGAATGTTAAATTGCCAAAGATTGAAATCCCAAAGTTTTCTGGAGATATAAAACAATTCAAAACATTCAATGATATGTTCACTTCACTAATTCACGAAAATGAAGGTCTTTCTCCTATCGAGAAGTTCAATTACCTTTTATCATTTTTACAAGGAGAAGCACTAACCCTAGTGCAACGCATTCAACTATCCGCTGACAATTATGAATCTGCCTATGGTTCATTGTTGAAAAAATATGATAACCCGCGTATGATTGCCTTTGCTCATTTGCAAGCATTAGATAAAGCACCATTTATTACTAACTCGAGAAACCTCAAAGACTTTCAGAATTTAGGAAACATTTTTTGTGAAAATCTCGCTTGTCTAAAAAATATGGGTTTCAATGTGGAAGATTGGGATTTTTTGCTATTTTACATGTTCAGTAAACATTTGGATGAAGACACGATGACTAGATTTGAGTTCGAAGAATCTAACAGTGCTAACATACCTACTTTCGAATTGCTCATGGATTTTGTTATGAAACAGTGTAAAGCCCTAGAAACTGTCAAATATGCTTCAAATATTATCAAAAGTCCTGTGCTCAAATCCGAATATAAAAATAAATCCACTACGAATGTTTCACCTAACAAAGTGAAATATGCTTCATCATTTTTCAGTCATACCGGTAAATATAATAATTGCATCCTTTGTAAAGGAGATCACTCTATTTATAGATGCAGCCAATTTTCATATAAATCGCCTCAAGAGCGTTTACTAATAGCTAAAAATAATAATTGGTGCACGAATTGTCTCAGTAACAAACATATTTTCAAAAATTGTAATTCATTAAGTACATGTCGCTACTGTAATTTACGTCATCACTCCATTCTACATATAAACAATCATGATAACACAAATACCGATAATCATTTCATTTCCCCTAATAATTCTCGAACACCCGCCTCTGCTTCTGCTAGTACTTCGACTGATCCCAATCCTACTACGACCGCGCAAACTCAATTATTTTCAAATCGAACCGCGAATATTATAAACTCCACGACTACAGCGCCTGCAACACCACAACATGAAAATAATTTCTGTGGTTTCATCTCAGCGTCATCAACTGTTCTCCTATCAACAGCAATGGCAGAAGTTCTAGACATTCATGGGGTTTATCAAAAGGTCCGCTGTTTACTTGACTGTGGTTCACAGACAAGTTATATCTCACAAGCATGCTATAGACGACTTGGTTTATCGCGATTTACTTCTTCACTCGCTATTCAGGGTATAAGTTCAATGCAAGAAGTAACCTCTTCAGGTGGCGTAACTTGTACTTTGAAACCAATAGGCAAAAATGATCCGAAAATTGATATTGACGCGTTTATACTTCCAAGGTTATGTTCAAATATGCCTCGAAACTTAGTTAAATATAATGATTGGTCACATATCTCCGAATTAAAGTTAGCTGATCCAACCTTCAATTTGCCAGGTCCAATTGACTTACTCATTGGGGCTGAAATATTTCCATATATCCTAAAAGATGGTAGGCTACGTGGAAGTTCCAATCAACCGGTGGCTATAAACACTATATTTGGCTGGGTACTAATGGGTAAATTTTCCGATGAACTTCCTGATAGCTCTCTTACATTTTTCTCAGCTGTAAATGATGATATTTTTTCTTTGGATAGAACTATAAAAAAGTTTTGGGAATTAGAAAAATTGCCAGACTCTATTATTTCGTCTCCTGAAGACAAAAAATGCGAAGAAATATTTTTAAATACTCATACGCGAGATAAATCTGGGAGATATATTGTCCACCTGCCCTTCAAGAATTCACTCCCGATTTTTGATATTGATGATTCACGTTCTATTGCCCTTCGTAGGTTCATATCTCTTGAAAAACGATTATTATCAAATGCTAATGTTTATGTTCAATATACCAATCAAATCAAAGAATATATTGAAAATGGCTATATGAAACTAATTAAAGAAAATACTAAACCTCAGAGCTGCTACTATATTCCGCATCACGCTGTTGCCAAATCTGAAAAAATACGCATAGTATATGACGCCTCAGCAAAAACTTCTCAGGGCCTTTCGTTGAATGACACTTTACTTACTGGACTAAAACTGCAAAATGACATTGTTTCAATCTTATTAAACTTTCGTCTTCGGAAAGTAGTTTTCACTTGTGATATCAAGAGCATGTTTACGCAAATTAAAGTTACTGAAAGTCATCAAGATTTACAGCGCATCTTGTGGAGATTTTCTCCCCAGGAGTCTATCCAAGAATATAAATTATCACGAGTTACATTTGGACTTGCCTGTTCCCCTTTTTTAGCGAATCGAACTATTCGTCAATTAGCAATAGATGAAAAACTAAATTTTCCGCTCGCCTTACCGGTTTTAGAACAAGATATTTACGTGGATGATATTCTCACCGGGGCTTCGTCTGTTGAAGATGCGAAGCTGTTACGCAACCAACTTATTAATATTTTGCAACTTGGAGGTTTTGAGTTGAGACAATTCACGAGCAATAATCCTGAAATACTAGCAGACTTACCAGAGTCACATTTGCAACTTAATCCATTTTCATTTGACGATAAAAATGCATCTCTAAAAATTTTAGGCCTACAGTGGCAACCGCGCTATGATATATTTTCTTATCACGTTGAAATAGTGGATCGCGTTTGCACCAAACGACATATTCTGTCAGATATCGCTCGCATATATGACCCACTTGGGTTTTTGACTCCAATGACTATCTTCGCCAAATGCTTTATGCAAATTTTATGGAGTCTTGGACTTGATTGGGATGAAATTCCTAATAATGAAATTTCAGAACGCTGGCTAAAATTCAAATCCGAACTTCCACTTATCGCTAACATAAAAATTCCGCGCTTGCTTTTACCTAATACTACGGTTGGTATCGAGCTTCATGGTTTTTGCGATTCGTCACAAAAGGCATACGCTAGCGTTGTATACATGAGGTCCGTGATTGATAAAGAAATAAAAATATTTTTCGTAATTGCCAAATCTAAAGTCGCTCCTCTGAAGTCGGTATCGATACCACGCTTAGAACTAATCGCAGCTACGCTTCTCGCAGATCTAATGTATTTTGTTCTGAATACTTTCAAAAATAAAATAGCTTTTTCCGATATTGTAGCATGGTCCGACTCCTCTATTGCATTGACATGGATAAAATCTCCACCTCATAAATGGCACACATTTATAGGAAACCGAGTAGCTCGTATTCAAGAAAAAATAGCACCTCCTTGTTGGCGACATATTAGCTCACAATATAACCCTGCGGATTGCGCATCTCGTGGACTCATGCCTTCTCAACTTACAGATTTTGCTCTCTGGTGGGCAGGTCCACCATGGTTATCAGAACCAAAAGAATACTGGCCTATTGAAAAATGGATTCCTGTAGATAATGATGTTGTTTCTGCTGAAGAAAAAACTTCCACTTTTATGACAATTATTAAAGAAGATAATTTCATAGAATCTCTTATCGATAAATATTCTAACCTCTCAACGATTTTGCGAATAATCTGCTATGTAAATCGCTTCATATTGAACACTCGGAATCGTAACAGTCCAAAACTGGGAGTACTCGTTAACCACGAAATATCTCAAGCTATGCAATCGTGTGTGAAATTCATTCAAAATACGAGTTTCGATGATATTATTTTTTCTTTGAAAAATAATAGACAAATACCAAAATCGTTTAAAAAATTGAATTGCTTTTTAGATAACGATGATGTTCTGAGAGTAGGCGGACGCATTTCTAAGTCTACTTATTTGTCTTTTGAGCAGAAACACCCCGCTTTACTTCCGTGTAATAATCGCTTCACTCGCTTGTTGATTGAGTATTTTCATAAAAAATACTTACATCCAGGGAATCAAACATTACAATATTTGTTGATGCAACAATTTTGGATATTGTCGCCAAGAAGAGCCATTCGACGCGTTATATCTTCTTGTACAAAATGTTGGCGCCTCGACCCCAAAACATATCAACCCCCTATGGGTGATATGCCCAAATTACGAGTCTCACAAATGAAACCCTTTTCGTGCGTAGCTTTAGATTATGCCGGTCCTTTTCTCACTACTTTAGGAAAAACTCGAGGGGCTAAAAGTACCAAGTCATATATTTGTGTTTTCGTATGCTTTGCCACACGAGCTATACATCTTGAATTAGTCTCTGACTTATCGAGTGATGCCTTTTTAGCTGCTCTTCGTAGATTTCTTGCTCGTAGGGGTAAATGTTCTAAGATCAGCTCAGATTGTGGATCAAATTTTATAGGTTCGCATAGAGAGATCATGAAGTTACTAAAAGAGGCCGTCGAAGCTGAATCTATCGAATGGTTTTTCAATCCCCCTTCCAGTCCACATTTCAATGCCTTAGCAGAGGCAGGGGTCAAATCCGTAAAAACTCATTTGAAGCGCGTTGTTGGTGATCAAATACTCACCTTCGAAGAGTTTTATACCATTTTGGTACAAATCGAAGCACTACTGAATTCTCGCCCCATCTGTCCCATAAGCACAGACCCCAATGATTTAGCAGTTCTTACCCCTGGTCACTTTTTGACCCTGGAACCCTTGTCTACCTTACCCGACGCGGATTTAACCCACTTAAAATTAAATCGACTGAATCGCTGGCAATTGCTACAGCGTATGCAACAAGATTTTTGGGCACGTTGGAAGTCTGAATATTTGCATACGTTGCAGCAACGAAGTAAATGGTTAGAACCCACTTCTCCTGATGTGAAAATTGGCACTATGGTGCTCATAAAAGATGAAAGAACACCTCCGCTGAAATGGAACATGGGCAAAATAATCGAGCTACATCCAGGATCCGATGGGATTTCGCGTGTAGCTACGCTAATTACAAAAAATGGCAGATTGAAGAGACCGTTGGTGAAACTCTGTCCTCTGCCGTTTGCAGATAATGTTTAAAAAATATATATACAAACCTGTTCAATATATTTTTGGTGGGCAGTATGTTCGCCAATCATATACTATTTTAGATAATAAGTACCTAGATATAGTTATTAGATGTAATCTTAATTCAAATCTCTATATTTCTATTATTTTGGTCTCATCGTATTGAAGGAATAATAAAGTAAGAGTAATACTATTTCTTTGCGCGACAAACACACAGTTGAGGAAACACAAGAGCCCTCTAGTGGCGGTTTGGTAAAGACAGGCATTGTGGACTCTCAACACGCCGGAGACGACACGCTATATAACGCTCTCGCTTTATCGCTTTTATCGCTTATGTAAAACCGCTTTGGTGATACCCAATGTAATAATGCATTACGTGCAGTGCTAATGCTATGTTGCAACCGCGCATGTACCGCTGAACTGCAAGTTGGAAAAGGACTCATCGGAACGACAGAAATTCAGGTGAGTGTTTCTCTCAACTGTCGCTATATACTTTTCTTATAAAAACGCCGCTGATCAAACAGTACCGGGTCTTCAACAATGATTAAACACCACGTGACCATATTCGTATGCAACCAACAATACATTTTTGTTATCATCAGGTAACATCATCATGTATGTCATATTTGCACCTTGGATCATTCATGGCTGTAGTTTCCAGTGTTTAGTGTATGTGGTTCACGTCCTCCGCAATTTGATTGTCCCGTTAAATTGTCAACCGTCATAGCAGCCAATAGCTTGTCTTGTTTACAAAAATTAAAAACAGGAAAGTTGGATTGCGAATCTGTCTCTTCAATTTTGTGTTTTCGAAATGTATACTGCACAGCTCTAGCTCATTAGCACCCAGTAGCACTTTGTTGTCTTTTCTCCTCGGTTTGATTATAGTTTATATGGTTCTTGATTTTATTTTATTGTTCTTGCATTTGATTATTCCACTCACAATTATTACTTTGCGAAAAACAGTTTTTATCAAACCTACATCACCAATTCATTGTTGTGAAAAGATAAGACCAAAGTGGAAGGTTTTTCTGAAACACCCTGTATAATAACCCTAGGCAAGTCAATGTAAGTTTAATTTATTGTACCAGTATTTCCCTGAAGAAACTAATGTGTTAGCTAAACATGTCGTGTTATCAAGAATTTTGTGGAAATTGCATCGTTTGTGAAGTTTTTATATTTATTATGGATTACCTTCAAGTAACGGCCGAGTCAAATCAAAATTCTATTCTCAGTAGCCGAGGTCATAATCTGACGTTGCGATGACATGAACACTACAGGAAACCATTTTCAACTCCTGACTTAGATCGAAAGTTAATCCGGGATTGGCGCAGTGGAAGAGCGTCCGTCTCACGACCGCGAGGTCGTGGGTTCGATTCCCAGCACGAGCAAGGAACTCTTTTCAATATTTTATTTACGAATTAAATATTGTAAAGTTTCGGACCATCGGCTGGGGATAGTCCTGCACGATTCGCTGTTGCGTTCCAATTAACAGGGCTGCTCCTAAAAGGGCGCATGGAGTTAGTAACAAAGCCTACACAGAAAGAGATGATGATGAGGTTGTGAGCATCAAAAGAAATAGGACGGTGTATGTAGGTGAGTGTGGAAAACTACCAGCTGAGCGTGAGAGTGGGCCAATGCTGCTTAGTGGACCTCGGTCTCTAACGGGGGTTAACGAGAATAGCTAGCAGGCCTGCCAGTGCAGCATAAGGTAGTGAGTACATGACTAGCCTACAAAACACAGCGGAAAAACTCGGAAAGAGAGCTGATGGACGGTGCCTGAAAAGGATGTTAGCCAGCTTTCTTAAGGGAACCACATCACTTATTGAAAACACCTTGGGGCTTGCAAAAAGGTCCCATTAGGGACTAGTTGCTGATGTGCAAACGTCCCCCCCCCCCAATACCAGTACCAGTAGATCGAAAGTTAGACATGTTTCCCGTAGTTTTTATGTCATCGCAACGTCAGAAGATGACCTTGGCTACCGCGAATTAGTTACTTGAATATCCGCTAGAGGGCGTGTCGCTTATTTTGAACCGCCGAACAGGCGAGCTCGTTCAGTTTCACCCCTCACCTGTTATTGTGTACTCTACTGCCGCCGTTCACCGCCACCACCGCCGCTGGCGTCGCCACCACCGCGTTCGCCGCCACCGCCACCGCCACCCTCTCGATCCCGTCGAGCTCCGCCTCCTTCTCCACCGCCGCTTCCGCAGGTTCCGCCGGTAGCGCCTGCTGCATCAGCTGCATGTAGAAGCGGTTCTCTTTGGCGACCACCTTGTCATGAAAATCATATGAGGCGTGTGAACGATCTTGAACTTGGCAAGCATATAAGGCAAGTCGAAATCGGTATGTAAATATGCGAGACGATAAAAAAACAGAATACTATGAACAGAAACTAATGTGGAAAACTCTGAGATCGATTGTTAAACCTACTGCCCTTTATAATTTCATCAAAATTGAATTTTCCGAGAATGGTACAACCAGAACATTTAGAACTGAAAAGGACATAGCTAACAATTTCAATATTTTTTTTGCGAATAGTATCCAAGTCATTACTGATAATATAATAACAGGGAAACAATGGTCACAGGCAGATTAAAAGAAAATAAATAGCACATTAAATTGTTTTTCCGTCGACCTCTTATTGAAGACTAAGTTTAATGTATATGAAATCGTTCATTAATGTTATACTTTAAACTCTTTATTTCAAATCTCTGTTTGAAACTACAACTAGAAGAACTGTCATCATAATTCTCTATCTGACATATATATCAAAACAATGAATAAACAAACATGATATCAGCGTAGAGCTGATTCCTAACATTTCTCCCCTTCCTTTTATATTGAATAATCCTCCAGATAACTTGGTCGCCTACAATTTCTCCTTGGACGGACATGACTCGAGACATCAGACTGGGTTGATTCGTAATCAACATCATTCAAAATTTCGGAATGATTTGGTTCAACGTTGGATGAAGATGTTTCTTCAGAGTCTGAATTATCAGTTGCTTCCGGAACCGAACTTTCCTTCATGTCAAAAGTGTCCATCAATATATTTGAAGGAATCAAATCGTATCTGTCTTCTTCTCCGTATTTTTTCCTCATCTGATTGACATGTGCGCGTACTAAATTTCGGCGATCTTCACTCAATAAAACATTGAACATAACATTTCCAATTCTTTCGATGATCTTTCCGGGAATCCAACTGTAGCGATTGTTTCTGAAAATTTTGACATAAACTGCATCTTCTGGGTTGAAATTGTTACTGTTCGCTTGAGTTTGATATAATGGTTTTCTCACAGAGGATGGTAACAACAGATCAAATGTAGTCCGAATTTTCCTACCCAGTAAGACTTCAGCTGGTGATTAATTTCCAGGTACTGATCGAGCTGGTGTTGACCTGTAAGCAATTGAGAATTGTTGAATATGCTCTTCATCTGGATGTCCTTCTCTCTTGAACTTCTTCAATGCCCTCTTGAAAGTATCCACGAAACGCTCAGCTTGACCATTAGATTGAGGCCAATAAGGTGCTGTACGAATGTGTTGTATGCCATGAAACATACAATAGTTTCTGAAAACTTCACTTGTGAACTGCGTTCCGTTGTCTGTGACTAAAGTTTCAGGATATCCAAAACGTGAACAGACCTCATCCAGTGTTTGCACTGTGAATTTAGAAGTAATTGTTCTCGTTTTGAACACTTCTGGCCATACATACGCCACTGGCCTTTTTGGACAAAACACAGGACTGGCATCTTCGTGTATATTGAGGTCTACCTTCAGTTTTGTACAGCAACCCAAAGAGCTTCTGAATACCTCTGGGAAACGTGTTTTCAATAGTGTACCATCAAAACATGTAGATTCATTTACATATATTTTGTTGCATATAGAATTAATTGGAACATCCCACAACCCTAACTTTGTGATCCAGTCAATACCCAGTACGTTCAAACCAGCAACTGAAGTAACGAAACATTTTCCACAATATGACTTCTGATTGAAACTTATTTTACAAGGAAATTCTGACACCAGATGTAGTGGATTGCCAGATGCGTTTCGAGCTGAATGATTCGTAACTTGACATTTGGGATTTCCTATTGAATGCAACATTTCTTCGGCTATAATAGTAATATCTGAAGCAGTGTCGATTTGTAAATTCACGGGAACTCCATTGATCAGTACATTGATATATTTTCTCCTTGCTCTGGATTCGATTTGATTGATATCATATATGACATGAGCATTAAAACGTGAATTATAGCTTATTTTTCCGCGTCGCTGTGCAATGTTTCGCTTTCCAACATTACAGTAACCATCCTTATGACCAACCTTACTGCAACGTTGACATTTATGATTTCTATAAAGGCAATTTTGAGCATAATGCAGATCACCACAGTACCAGCATGGGTATCGTGGGAACTGCTTTGATTCGCCCTGTTCAACTGGATATCGTGTAAATTGCTTCGAATCACCCTGTTCAACTGGATTCTCGTTATCTCTTTGTATGTTAGGTGACAAATTACTCTGCGATTGGTTTCCATAGTGATTTTCACGGTGTGATTTCTGGTTTGACACCCTATTGACAGTGTCAGTGTTAATTTTTTCATTTCCAATCATTGCCGTATCGTTTTTGAGATTGATGATTCTTTGGCATTCTATCAATAAATCTTGTAGTGTAGTATTTTCTGAACCTGCTTGTTCGACTCTTGCTAAAAGTCTGGTACGGATTTCAGCATCTCTTACTGAACGGAGGCCGCAAATGAATATCAAGCTTTTGAACTGGTCTGTAGTCATTTGATTTATTTTGAAATCTTCACATTGTTTGTTAACTTTGGACGCGAAAGCAACAAAATCTTCACTATCACTTTTCGCAAGCTGCATACACTGATATCTGGCATGAAATATTGAAACCTTTTTCCCAAACATTTGATGAAGTTTCTCAACCGTTTCATTGAAGTTGATTTCTTTGATTTCCTTGGGTAAAATGAAATTAACATACTGATCATGGCATTTTGAATCTATTTTCCTGAGCAATAATCTCACTCTGGCTGAATCTGACAAATGTTTAGCATCTTCTGTGAAAAGACTCTCGAAACGTTTGTACCAGATATCGAAAGTTGTGCCCGACTCGGGGTCATAGTTAAATTCAGTAATAGTATTTCCAAGAGATTCCATACTGAACTCTTCACCTGTTGCATTCGATGATTTGATACTTGTGGCACCAAAAGTGTTAGCTAGCTGGACTAGAAAATCTTGCTGGTTTTTCATGAGAAGCTCTTGTTGTTTTTGTAATTGTTCCTGCTGGTTTTTCATGAAAGTGAGTAATGACTGACTGACTTCCTCTGAGTTCATGGTAAGGTGGGTTCTAACAACCTCGTCGCCAAATGTTATACTTTAAACTCTTTATTTCAAATCTCTGTTTGAAACTACAACTAGAAGAACTGTCATCATAATTCTCTATCTGACATATATATCAAAACAATGAATAAACAAACATGATATCAGCGTAGAGCTGATTCCTAACAATTAATGACCCCTATTAATAAACGATTTGTCTATTAATGCACGATTGTTTTATAGGTAACCAAACATACACCGCGTGCATTCATTGTTTATGCTATAACTTACGGAATCTGCATTTAAATCGAAAATATGGATTTCATCGAAGATTTTCTGTTAACGGGTTCGCCTTTCCAAGTTTCTGACACGATTTTAATCCCTGTTTTTTAACACAAGGAATTTATTTTTTATGTTGATCATTTCGACAAATGTCAAATGTAGCAGTTTCCGGATGAATGATGAATTCGCGAACCAAGTTTTCTTCATTGCAGGAGAAATGAGAAATATAGTCGACGGAAAAATGTTGTAACCAACTTGTTTATTAAAAGGCGATTAATACACTAGTTGGTTAAATAACTATTCGAAAACTAACTAATAGTGAACTGCGTGAAATTATATTCTCTTTGGACAATAATAAAAATGAATCTGAAATTCGTGATCCAAAATTCATAAGAGAAACCTTTGATAGCCTTTTAAATGTTATATCACATTTTGTTAACACTTCTCTTGAATATGGAAAATTTCCAGATAGTTTCAAAATTAGTACCATTATACCAATACCGAAAATTTCTAATGCCATAGTTGCAAGTAAATTCAGACCCATAAATACTCTACAAAGTCTTGAGAAAGTGATAGAATTGGCAGCTCATACACAGTTGATAAACTATTTGAATTGTAATAATATCCTTAGTGAGCACCAATCAGGATTCAGAAGTTATTCATGTGAAACAGCTCTCCATTATAGAGGATCCGGCAGGGACGTATGGAAGATTTGAAAGTGGCGCCAAGTATGGTGAGTATGAACCTCATATTCTCGCAATAGGTAGTATCTACTAGAGTCACTGGATGGTATAAGTAGCATTGTGACAACAGCATCATAGTCGTTCCGCGCTTTTTCATTGAAAATTGTTTGAATTTGACAACAAATTTTATGAGCGTCAGAATTGAAATATAATTTCATAAACAAATGTGTAATGAATTGCGGGAATTCTGAAGGGAATGGCGATTTCAGTTCTTAAATTTTCCAAAGGAAATATCAACCATTCCTTTATATAGAAGGAATTTATGAAACGGCCTGGATGGAAAATTAATTTGATGACAAGCGAAATTCGTGAGGTGAGTAAATACATTAAAATTCACTTATAATAGCAGATTGGAATGAAAATATATATTTTAGGCCCATTTTCGAATAGAAGATTTATAAGATCAGTTGTTCCATTGATATACAAAATAGACTATGAAAAAAACGCAATATTATCATGAGACGAAATGCAAAACGAAATTATCATTGAGAAAGAGGAATTGATTGAAAAACTATGTAATGAAATTGAAAATTTTAGAACGAAACTGAGGAAATCAAGTGAATTGCAACGTGATATGATATCATTGAATGGCGTTTTCAATACCGGCCAAATTCAAAATTTATCAGCAAAATGGGAATGCATCAAAAGGTGCAAAATCAAGGCGATCTTCATGTTTTACATTTTATCACTCCGGTACAGTTTTAAATGCGTCCTCCGAACTAGTTATAAGTAGAGTCACTGGATGGTATTAGTTTGATAAGAGTTCGGACACAGAAATGACAACGGTTAGGGTTTTTGAATGTTTAGATTTATAAAGTTACACACCTTGCATTGTGACAAGAGCACCATAGTCGTCCTGCGCTTTTTCATTCAAATTTTTTTGAATTTGACAATTCATTTTATAAACGTCAGAAT